AGCATGGCTGGCTGGGGAATTCTGGGGGTTGAAGTCCACATGTCTTAAAGTTGCCAAGGTTGAGAAACACTGCTCTAATATATGCTTTCCAGAAGCTGAAACGGGCAAGCATCGTTTTAGAAAGCAGCCTGTTTTCACACAGGACAGTGATGCAGACATCCACATGAATGCCATATAATGCATGTGTTTTGCCTGCAAATAATAATAATTTGTTTCAAATGCACAATTATGAACTAAATCTGGCATAGAACTTGACTAAACTTCAGAAAACCCTGCTTGTGAAAAAGCCCATCGGCACTGACGCCGATTCAGAATTTTATAATTCTCTCGGTATGATTCCTGCCCCACGGGATGAGACAAAGTAGCCCCTTGGCAACTTTGGCCATGTGGTTTCCTTTGCATCTGGGCCTTGATGGAAAGAAGAAAAAGGTGGTAAAGAATTCCCGAATTGTTGGGAAGTTTCAGCTCTCTGTTTAATCGACACCAGCAGCGAAATGATAATGCTCCTTTCTGTGTTCACAGCTCAGTGTCTTGGACACCTGTGCCTTGATAATGAAAATAATTTGTCTGGAGATTTACTCTGTGGTCAAGTAAGTAACATTCAGAGACTTTTCGAGAAGAAGGGATCCAGCCCACGAGGGAGCCCGCTGGCCCTTTTAGAAGTTATAACTGAGAACGGAGGATTGAGAACAAACTTCTCGCTCGTTTTCCTAACCTGTCTCTCGGAGATCAGATGTTTCTCCTGAGAAATAAGAATCGTCCCCCGGGAGGCCTGATCTCGGAGGTGCTTGAGTGCAAACAAGCCAGGATCTAAAATGATGGAATTTGCGCTCGAATGGAGAAGGAAAACATGCATGTTTTGCATTTGGGGTGGGTAACATCTGAAGGCTTGGGAGTTGCACCTCTGCCTCCCATCCTTCTGGAAGGCCACAGGGAGCTGCCTGGGGATGAATTTGGGAAGTGGGTTGGGAAATTTTAAGGGTGAGATGGGAGCAGTTTGCTTTTCAGGGCTCCCTGGAACTCTTTGGAATGAACTTTGGGAATTTAAGAACGGCTTAAAGAGTGGCTGCCGTTCCCACCCTTAAATTTGAAGAAAAAATGCGCTTGAGAGCTGGTGGTGGCTGCTCACGGACTTCGAATGAGAGTGTATTGCTCTGGCTTTCCTGCCATAAGAATAAGTCCCACTGCCGGTTCAGGCCAGTGGCCCTTCTGGACCAGCATCCAGTTTCCAAACAGAGATGGACACCAGGCCCACAAGGAGAAGAAAGCTGTGCAGCAGCCACTTCAGAGGCCTGGTCCCCAGCACCGCCTTGTTGGCTCTATTCTTGAGAGAGGCTTTTTCAGAGCCCTTTTGAGCTACCCAAGCTAGAACCTTCACCATATCTTATATCCAGGCTACCTTTCAGCTTCCTTGTGGTGCCGATTTGTGTCTAGAATCTTATTTCTCATTCTCAATAAGATCGTTGGAGCACGTCTGCTTGTAATATTGATAGTTTTTAAAGGGGAAGCCCTCTAATCCTGATCTTGTGGGGTGTAGGGGATCTCTGGACCAGTCCCTGAAAGACACGCTCAAGAAGTTTTCGACGGAAAAGCGCTTTGCCTACTGGTCGGGCTACGTGAAGTCCCTGGCTTTCCACGTGGCAGAGACAGAGGGCAGCGGCTGTGCCTCCATGACCGAGTACCAGATGTTGATCTCAGCATGGCGCATGTTGCTGGTTGTTTCCACCCGCCATGTAAGAAGTTCGGCGTCTCTTGCTGCCTGTCTTAAAACGCTGAAGGGAAGGGCCAAAGAGGGATTAAATCTCAAAAGGGTTTAGTTGTACTGGCTTAAGAGTGATCATGGAACATGTCAGTGACCAGCATGAACATCATGCAGAGAATTCGACTGTTAAGTCTAGAAACTGTTGAAGGAGGGCCAAGGAAAATGAGCGAGGAGCTGAAGTGTTTTGCCCATTAAAGATACTTTTGTGTAGTCCTTGGTGCTCTCTGAGCTCGGTTGTTCGCTTGCAGACGCTTTATTACCTGACTATTATCAGTAGCTTCATATAGCTCCTAGATATAAACAGGCAGCAAACCCCACCCTCTCTTGCACTGATGATGTTACCTAGTTGGGTAATGAAACGTCTGCAAGCAAACAGATGTTTCATTAAAAAGCAAAGAGTCGTTTTTTAACGAGATGGGCGGTGACAAATTTAATAAACATATAAATAAAATAACCAAGCTCAGAGAGCACCAAAGAATCCACAGTTCAACCCTGAGCTACAGATATTCTCTTCTGTTGGAAAGATAGTTTTTTTTTGGGGGGGGGTATAGGATGTAGTGTTAACTACTTAGAACTTTATATATTTTATTTATTTATTTATTTTTATAGGAAGTATATAGTATTTTCAGTGAAGTGATATGGAGATTTATATCTTCATGTAGGTAGATGGTTTCCTCCCATTGTTTAATAATAATAGTTATGATTGTTTTTTAAGGTCACACCATAAAAATGGATAGGAGATTTAGGCTAAGCAAAAGTTCTGCATGCAGCGCTAGTGGGAATTCAGTGCTGGGCGACTGTAGGTGGCCACCAGTGTGGATGGGATGAAATGGATTTGTGGCGCATAAATCTTACTAGGGTTGGGATGCTCCATACACGTAGGTCGTCTTTCACTGAATTCCTTTGCTGGAATCTGTCTTCCCTGGGCTATGCCCTGCAGAAATTTTCTTATCTGATGGGCTCCTGATCACTACAAGATATCTAATTTTGATTCTGCTTCTTTCAATAAATATTTATATTACTTAATGCTAATTATTGATACTTAATAATTGAAAGGCTCATAGTCTAGTAGACGTGACAAAAATGGGAAAAAGGGAATGGGGGTGTAGAAACAAACATGTTACTCCTACTCTGAGGATTTCAAGACTTTTAAATTGAGCACTCGGAAATGGGAGGAAAAACTGTTGGCCTACACTGCTTTAAAAACCCATGATCATACAGGTATTTATCATCAGAGGGGCTGATCGTTACACACAGGCAGACTTCCATGTATTAGTATCTATAAATTAATGTTGGGATTATACGCAAGAGAAAGGGCAATTGCTTTTACCGGTTTTAAATCACAGACTGATTTTCTCAGGCTGACATCGTGAACTTGACTGACTCAGAGATTCAGCAGCTGTTTCTGGACGTCCTGAATGGTACCAAGGCTTTGGTAAGAGTTTGCATTTTAGAAACCTCATCTTCCGTCGTGGTTCAGACATGCAGGGTTTCGAATGTAGCTCCTCCATCGGAAGGATCTCTTAAATCCAAAAGATCTGACTTTGACCATCGTATCCATTTTTTCTTGTTGGCAGTCTTGCAGAGATGGAAGATAAGAGGCTATTTGAATGGTTAGGTCTTTTAGGCACATCAGTTCTGAGGGTTTAGCTCAGCAGTCAGTAAAAAGAAAGGTGCAGTTAGTTTTTGCCCATATTTTTTTCCAATTATGTCCTTGGATTTAGAGTCTTTGCTTGCTCCACAGTGAGTACAAGATCCTGCTCCGCATTTCTCTGTTCCTTGAATAGAGAGGTTAAAAACAAAGGAGCACCATCAGTGGAAAAATATGTTTTAAAGATCACTGTTTTGCCTAAGCATGATTTTCCTAGTAGTGCAGCCCCAAAATTTTGGCCCCGGTTCCTTGAGATGCACCCTCTGTGCTGAGTCAAGTTACAAGATTTGTTGTCCCTTCAGCAATTACCTTATTGCTTCTTTTTCTTTCCATCTTCTTTCTTTTTAATTTATAGTGCAGGTTTGTTCTACATATTACTATGTGATTTAAAGTCTTGACTGTTTCAGTTTGTCCTGGAGTTGGGCGGCCAATAAATTTAAATAAATTTATATATAATTTATAATATAAATACATCATATAATATAATAAATATATATTATATATAAAATTATCAAAAATATAAAATAAATATATAAAATAATTTAAATAAATAAAAAATTAAATAATCATTTCATATTGAAGGACATTCATTGAAAATAAATCTTTCCATAGCTGCTGGTTCCCACTTCCGTGTGCTGCCTGCAACTGGGATCCATGCTGTGTACCCTTCTGTTAATTCTGCTGCGACAGTGGAGGAGGTAGGTGTCTGTGGTGAAAAGATGGAGCTCTCTAGACAGAGATCACCCATTTTGCATATGGAATGGGTTCGATCCCTAGACTTTGGGTTCGATCCCTAGACTTTGGAGTAGAGCTGAGAACATGTGAAATCCCAGAGCGTTACTGCCAGTCAGGAAGGGGGAACTCTACCAGATGTTGCTCAACTGCAGTTGTAGGGGTGAGGAATTTTGGGAAATTCAGTCCTTGAATTCCCAGCCAGCATTGCTGTTGCTGGAAATACTGGAAGTTGGACTATTCAGGTTGGTATATGGTGGCCTTCAGAAATTGTATGGGAGGTCTCCTAAACTGTGAGAAAACATAACTACTAGTTGAAGGGCACCAAGTTGGGAGAGGTTGCCACAGACCAGCCAGGGCGAATTCTGGGAATTGAAATCCCAGAGTCGGCTGGGGAATTCTGGGAGTTGAAGTCCATACATCTTAAAGTTGCCAACTTTGAAAAACACTGCTGTAGATGTTATTTGGGACCTTTTTCTGCTTGGAGCCATTCTAAGGGGCTCAGCTGTTCTCCACCCCAAAACCCAATTTCCTGACTGACTCATGAGGCTGAAGCTACAAGAGAAGCCATCAAAAATACATTGTAGGCTCTAACCAGGTTCTCAAGAGCTTCTTTCTCTTTTTTGCTTTTTCTCCCCGCTGTCAGCAAGTTGGGCTCTGTGGATGAAATCATCAATTCCTTGACGAAGATCCTGGATGGAGTGCTTCAAGCTGACCAGCAGATGATGGAGAAGACCAAAGCCAAAATCTTCTCTGCGCTCATCACCATCCTGCAGATGAAAGAAATAAAAGGTCAGTGGTGGCGGCAGCGGGAGACAGTTGAGGCTTCACTAAGTTCTGGGTTTGCTCCATACAGGTAGTCCTCGCTTAATGCCCACAATAGGAACCAAAAAATTCATTGTTAAACAGGGCAGATGTTAAGCGAGTTGCACTTGATTTTACCACCTTTTTTTTGCAGCAGTCACTAAGTGAATCACCTCAGCCATTAAGCGAATCACGTGGTTGTTAAGCAAATCACGTGGTTCCCCATTGACTTTGCTTGCCGGAAGCCAGCTGGAAAGGTCGCCAGTGGTGATCATGTGATCCCAGGACTGTTGTAAGCACAAGCTGGTTGCCAAGCTCCCGGATTGCAATCATGTTACTGCAGGGGTGCTGCGACGGTTGTGTGAGGACTTATTGTAAGACCCTTTGTTCAGCACCATTGTAACTTTGAATGCCCACTAAACGAATGGTTGTTAAGTGAGGACTAACTGTAGTTGAAGAACTGAGGGGAGGGGAACCATTTTGTCCTGAGCCCTCACTCTATTAAGGGCAAGAATACAGAAGAGCCTGCATTGGCAGCCAGGGTCCAATTTAAGATGTGGGTTTTGACGTATATGGCCCTTCAGGGCTTGGCACTCAGGATTGCCTTCTCCAGCCAGCTTTGGCCTGACCAGTGAGCTCTACCAGGGCTGTAAATTCCATACTTTGGGGAGATTCAGGGGTCTGAGGCCAGGAGGCGCTGCAGAACAGCCCCTCTATGGAGATCAGGCTGGCCCGCTCTTTACTGGTCTTTCGGAAGCTGTTTCAAGGGGCCTTTTGCTGATTTGAGGTTGCCATCTTTATCTTTATTACTTCATTTTTGCTCTGTGGCAGCATTTGGCCAGTCATTAACTTAGAAGAAGGCAAACCCGTAGTGCAACATTCAGCAACTGAACACCCTTTTCCTTGCTTCCTGTCAAACGGAACGGATACGGGTGTGCGTATCTCTTCACAGCCAGTGAGATCCCTCAGTATTCCCAGCTGGTGCTGAGTGTGTGCGAAACGCTCCAGGAGGAATTCATCGCCCTCTTTGACCACACTCGGCATTGCCTGACGTCGGGAGAGTCCCTTGAGGACAAAGACAGCATGGAAACGGATGACGTCTCCCGGCATAAGCAGAAGGACCAACGGGATGGGGCAAGTGATTTCAAATTATGAGAAATTAAGATCCCGGTGATTTTTAGGAGCTGGGATCATTGGGGAATAGAGAAAGATGATATTACAGGAAGCCAGCCACCCTTTACCCATCAAATGGCTTGAGATGGTCATTTTGCTTGCTTGTCGAGGGCAATCCAGACCTCTGGCAAAAAGCAGTGCAGTGTATTTGTCCCCACTGATTTGTATTTTTTGCTTACGCTTGTTTTATTTAGCAGTGTGGAGATTATTTCCTTCACCCGTCACCTGAGGCTTGAAAGTGGATACTTTCTTTGTGATTTTTTTCCCCTTTATTTTGAGCCGGGGTGGCCCCCATCCTGGCGATCCTGGGCCTGATTTCACAAGGTTCTTGTGCAAAGGAGCGGTTTGGATCTCTGGACCTTGAGAAAGGGCATCAGGGGAGCAGGCTTTGTGAAAATTGGGGGGGGTGTCTGAAAGAGTGAATGGCTACTCCTGCTCGCCACTGTTTGTGCCAGCTTTACCCATGCATCGCAGTGATCCATTTTGCAGAGAAAAAAGGCCCCTCCCTCCACTTTAGACCTGCGTGGTTTCACTGAGGACAACATTGTGGCTTTCCGTGGCCGAAGCCCAGAGTAGTTGCTTAAATGTTCCTGTGCCTCTTTCCCCCTCCCCCCGCCAGGTGTGCGTGCTGGGCCTTCACTTGGCGAAGGAGCTCTGCGAGGTGGACGAGGATGGAGACTGCTGGCTGCACGTGACTCGGACGATCCCGTTGCTCCCCACTCTCTGCACCACCTTGGAGATCAGCTTGAGGCTGAAGCAAAATTTGCACTTCACCGAAGCCTCGCTCCACCTGCTTCTGACATTGGCCAAGACTCAGCAGGTGAGAAGCCTAGGCAGCTGCAGGGGGTGGGGTTAGAGACTGGCCTTGGACTGAGGGACCCCCCTCCCCTCAACTTATAGCCCAGTGTCTCAGCCACAGAAGCGGTCTGGGGACGCTGAGTTCTTCAACACACTTAAACCCTACAAATCTTTAAGTTAGGCTGAACTCCTAATGACTTCATTAGGACCACTCCCATGTGGTTTTCTTGGCAACGGTACTGAGGAATGGATATTAGCTTTTGGGGGATGTTTGACTTCCCTCACAGCCCTGGGATATCAGCAGGTCAGATCCATATTAGCTTTCTCAAGATCAGCCATGTTCGGCTAGATGTTGCTCGCTTTCATTTCTTGGGTTTCTTGTGCAAACTCCAGCTCTGTGAATTGGAACACACAGGCTACAGTGTTGGGTAGGTTAGCTCCTGAAGTCATAGAATGTGGGTGTGCCAGTCTGCTCTGCAAAATGTTGTGTAATGTGCATAACACACCACACACCCAGTGGCAGGGGCAGCGTCCAGCCACCATCTTTAGGGCTGTGGGCTGAAGGATGCTAAAGTGAAGCCCACGTTTGCTGCTCCAAAACTGATGCTGGGACAGGTCTGTTGAATGCTTTCGCTTCTGAGGCTTGGAGGAAAGGAAGGAAGAGCAGGCGTTTCGTATCTTTCTTCTCCTTGGTCGCGCTAAGCGAGGAGTCTTAGTTCGAGAAAATGAACTTTCCAAAGGAGGTTCTTTGTAGCTCAGAAGCCGAGGTTTAATTCCAGAAGCTGGAACCTAGCTGGAAGAACATTCCTTTTTTACAGCTATGTAAGGAGCAGCAGCAGAGCAAAAAGAACTCTGAACGGAAGCAGCTTATCAGGGTTACGAAAACCTGAAGGGTCTGTTTCATTTGGTTAAATAGTTGGCATGTTTTCCAGCAGAATGCCCCTGAAATTTAGTGCTCCCTGATGGGACTTGTGACGGCGTCAGAGTTCTCTGATTTTCAGGGTTATCCTGCCTCCAAATGGGGTTGTGATGCCCAACATTGGGAACACAGATCGATCAATACTTTGCACTTAGTTTAAACAATTCAAAAGGGGGTCAGTTGACAGACCAACTATGTGTCCGTTGCAAGCCACAACATCAACGTAGTGCCACATATGGCTGCAATTACAGCCTGACGCTGGGTGCCAGGACTAAGCTGCATCGGTTTGCGCGATGAGGCTTTGAGGCATGTGTCGCCATCTCCCCTCTGGACTCCTGTGCCAAAGTGACCGCTTCACCCAGCCACGTGGCAGAAATTGGACAAGATTTGGACCAAGTCAGAATTGCCTGGCTGGTTTCACACAACCTGCTGGGCTAGGCTGTTCAGCATGCTGTGTGAACCATGCTATTGTATTCAGCCACCTGATGGTTTCATGGTTTGGCCAGAGCTTTTGTGTGTGTGGTGGAATTTGGCCTATAGTGTGGACCAGCCCTTGAGTTTCTTCCCAGCATGATTTTCCTCTCTCTCTTAGGGAGCGTCAGCAGCGGCCACCGCGGGCATCCTTCACAGTATCTGTCTACCCCTCCTGAGTGTCTACCAGCTGAGCAGTAATGGAGGGGGTCAGGTAAACGGCTCCCCACTTCTCCTCCCCAACCTGGGTGGCCTATTTGGTCTGCCACACTGAAATAGAAAAGCCCCTGAAGTGTTTTGTCAGCTTTTAAACTTTTGCTCTGTAAGCGATGCTCTTGGTGCCCGTACCAAGGCCCCTGCAGTCTAAGAATTGCCACCTGGGGAGCAGCAGTGGGTGGAGAGGGAATCGTGCATCGAGGTAAACAGGGAAATAAAAGTGCAGTTATTCCAGAATCTATCCACACTAACATCCCTGGAGAAATTCAGACTCATCGTAAGGGAAAGCTGGCTTGTTTCCTGCTCAGCGACTGGCTTGTCTGCGCAGGTCCCGGTTTCATCGCGGAGGTCTTTGGATGGCCCATCATGGCCCGGCATCTATCGCCTCTCCATATCGCTGATGGAGCGCCTGCTGAAGACCCTCCGGTACAACTTCCTCACCGACGCCTTGGACTTCGTGGGCGTCCATCAAGAGAGGATCCTCCAGGTGAGAGAAAGGGTCGGCTTCTCTTCAGTCTGTAAGAATGGAGAGTCTTTTGAAGCAGGACCAAGGCAGCCTTTGGAATCTGGAAGGCAGCCTGGCCGAGGCCCGGCTCTTTCTGCCCAGGGCCTGTGCCTCGGAGCAGAAAAGAAGCAGAACCTCACACGCTTCCTGAATAGGCAGAGAGTCGTGTGTGATCCCTGCTCTCAAACAACTGGCCAGTTAAGAAGAAGAAAATGGCTTCCAGTTGTGGGACTCGGCCCAGAGGTCACTCTGGGCCGGTCCCTCCCCCTTGGCCAGACCTACAGAGCTGTTGTTGCGGGTATGAAATGAAAGAGGATGTCTTCAGCTCCTGGAGCAGAGGCAGGATGTAAAGCTAACAAATACTGAATTTGTGACTGCAAGAGGTGGGAGGAGGGGATGGGTTCTCAGCACAGCTGTCTCAGGGAAGAAGCAAAAGCACTGCGAGGGTCCCGCCGTCTTGGTTTTCAGCCCACTTCCCTTGGGTGCTCAAGTGCCAAGGGCAGCGGGAAAGCACGCGGTTCCCCTTCAGAGCTCCGTGTTTTCCACCTGCAGTGCTTGAATGCAGTCCGGACAGTGCAGAGTCTAGCCTGCCTGGAAGAAGCCGATCATACTGTGGGGTTCCTCCTCCAGCTTTCTAACTTCATGAAGGAATGGCATTTCCATTTGCCCCAGCTCCTGAGAGATGTGCAGGTATGTTGCTGAATCTTCCTTCACGCTTAGTGGAATGTGGCCGCCCCCGTGGCCGAGGAGGTCAGCTGATAAATGGGTGAAATAGTGAGGAATGAACCTATGCATTATTGCACCTCTTGAGCCAGTACGAAAGTTGAGTTTTTTTCACTCGATCTGGATTTTTATGGATTGTTGGCACTTCACCTTCACTGGAAAGGTTTTTCCCTCCTTTCTTGTCTGTTTCAGGTCAATTTGTGTTACTTGTGCCAGGCCTGCACCTCGCTGCTTCATAGTCGCAAAATGCTTCAGCACTACTTACAGGTAAATGGCTGAGTCAGCCTGGGTGCGAGCCACGTTTGGGCTGAACATGGGGGCTCGCCTCTGACAGGATGCGGCTCCAGATAAGAAACCCCTCTGCTTAGAAGGAGAACCATAATAGAAAAGAAAAATAATAGAAAAAAACTGAAATCCTCTCCAATAGGTTACTTCTCTAGATGATGTTGATACAAGTGACCTACCTCCTTTTTTGAACACTGAAAGCCCGAAGGAATTGGGTAACATCTTTTCCGACGAACAAATTTGATTAAACGGCAGAAGCATCTCTCGTCCCAGTTTAAATCCTACACCAATCCAGCCACGCTGCAGCTCACGAAACCTTCTGCCTTCTAATAAAATGTTAGTTGGAAAAGGGGCCACTAGACTTTCAAAGTTTAGGCTACCCTGGACTAACACACCTCTGCTCTGAAAACCTGAAGTAAACTTAGGCATTAGAATGACTGGAATATCTCTAAAGGTCTTCCAGCTGGGAGGCAGTGAAGCAGCGGCTGGGCCTGATGGGAACTGGAGTCTGACATCTCTGGAGCTGGTTGAGGAAAGTGGTTACACAGCGTTGATTTGTGCCTTTTCTTTGAGCAGAACTCGAATCTTGGGCAACCACCTTTGGGTTGGCGTCGTCTCTTGGCACTCGGGCGCGGGTGTTTGGCTGTCCCCTTGGCCTGGTGTCTCCACTCACTCAGGTTTCTTTCCAGACCAAGAACGGCGAGCCCATTCCCTCCGCGGTTCTGCCTCGCCTCCAGAGACCCCCCCAGGCGTCTGCCAAGGCAGCAAGCCCCGAGTCGGAGGCTGCGGAGCAGAGGGCTCTGCGCACCGTCCAGTACAGCCTCCTGAAAATCCTCAGCAAATGTCTTGCTGCCTTACGGCACTTCACCCCAGACATCTGCCAGATCCTTCTTGACCAGGTAGAGGAAGCCACGCTCCTGCCAGGGAGAGAGAGGTCTTTTCATGGGACGCCCAATAGTTTGTACGCCGTTAGCTTCTGCAGCTAGCAAGCATCCCAGAAGTTCAGAACACAGCTTCACAGCCTGCAGCAGATGCCAGTGGCTTGTGCCTTTGAGAGGATGCGATTTTTTTTATTCATTCCCAAAGTGTGGGGATGGGTGAACGCCCGGCTTCCGTTTGGCCTTTCACCAATTTCGGTCCTGCGATGGTGCCCTCATGTGCCATTCTCCATTTGCAAAATGCAATCCAATCCATCTTGCAACGAACCCACAGTGTTTTAATGGCAAGTGAGAACCCAGTCTAGTTGCATGGCCTAAATGGAGCTTTCTGATGCAAAAGTCTTGCGAATGGTCCTAAACTTCATTTTGCACAAAGGCGAGCAACTGCAACCGACCTCGATGTAATGTTACGCCTTTTTTCCTAAAACGGTGGGAGCCAGGACCTTGCTCCTAGTTCTTAGTGACATAGTCATCTTGTTCCTGGGCTGTAGGCTCGTGTATAAGTTACCTGCCGAGATTCTTCCTCAAGCCTTTTCCCTAATACTGGTTTTGTTTTGTGTGCCTGTTGATTCTGCTTTCTGTTGCAGTCCCTGGACCTGGCAGAGTACAACGTCCTTTTCATGCTGAGCTTTACCACCCCTGCCTTTGACTCTGAGGTGGCTCCCTCCTTTGGGACCCTCCTGGCCACCGTCAACGTGGCCCTGAACATGTTAGGGGAGGTAAGAGTTCAGAAGAGCTTGCGCAGAGCGGAGAGGCTATTTGCTCAAGCCGGGCTGCTCGTTTGGAGATGCTGCTTAATTGTTTTTGTTGATGATGAAGATTTTCTAATGAGGGACTCACAAACTGGCTTGAAGGCTCTGTGTGCTGGACGGATGAGGACAAACCCTGAATTCTGTTCCAGAAAAAGAGAGCTAGTATGAACTCTGCAAAATGATACTTGTGTATGTATTTGCAGAATATGGTTTTGCTAGCTTGGTGCCTGCACCATGAACTTGCTCAGGACAGGGATGTTTCGCATCCCCCCCTTTTCTTCTTCTTCTCCAGCTCTGACTCTGGCTGGGCTTTCTCTTTTCCAATCACGAGGCTAGTTGGGAAGTTCCCTTGGAAGAGAATGTCCAAATCTGAACAATAAGCATTAATCATTTTCCCAGAATATTCCACCACGCCTCAGTCACACCACCACGCCTTCACAGGCCAGTTCAAAACAACCTTAGGAATGAAAGCTACATTCTGGTTTAAACACTCTGCTTGTTCAGAATCACAGGTGACGTCCGTCCGGCCTGCGCTTGTAGACCTGCTTTCGTCTTTGGTTCTAATGCCGCTTTTCCTTCTTCCCAAAGCTGGATAAGAAGAAAGACCCATTCACTTTGGCTGCAGGGTTGTCCCCCCAGCAGGAAGAGAACAAGACGCTCAAGTACGTACCTCGGTGTTTTGGATAAGGAACTGGAGAAGAAGCTCTTTTTTACATTTTTCCCTGTGAGCTTGCAAGCCGCTTCTCCAGTCTGGTTTCTCAGCTTAGTCCTTGTCACGTTGGCACTGGAGAGTGGTTTGGCAAGGAATATTTGTATTGCTGCTTCTGTTTTCACATGCGAGTTGATGCTGTATGAGTTGATACTGGCCCTACCTGCGGATTCAAAATGCATTTGGTTTTGGGGCAGGGTGGAAAAATAGCTCATAAGCAGGGAATGCTGCTTGGGTCAAGCCAGCCTGCTCTTCTGCCTTGCCTAGTATTCATCTGCTGAGTGATGTTAAATCTGCAAAATCTTGTGTTATCTGAGATCATTTCAAACAGAGGGACTGGAAAATTAAACCCAGTGGGAGCTTGTGTGAAGCTCATATTCCACTGGTACGTAGGTACCACTTCTCGTGTCCTATATTGACAAGTTCTGTGTTAGTACAGGTAGTCCTCGGCTTAGGACCACAATAGGGACTGGAAAATTTGTTAAGTGAGGTGTCATGTGACCACACCCAATTTTATGACCTTTTGCCACGGTCACTAAGAGAATCACTGCAGTTGTTAGGCAAGACATCATATGACCCCACAACTTGCGACCTTCCCTGCCAGCTTCCCTGTTGACTTTGCTTGTTGGAAGCCCCCTGGGAAGGTCGCAAATGGAGATCACATAACTGCAGGATGCTGCAACTGTCATAAATGTGCGACGGTTGCCAAGTGCTTGAGTCATGATCCTGTGATCGTGGGGACGCTACAATGGTCGTAAGTGTGAGGACCAGTCATAAGTCACTTTTTTCAGCACCGTTGTAACTTCAAACAGTCACTAAACAAATGGTTGTAAGTTGGGGGTTTACTTTACTTAGTTGTTAGGGTTCTTGCCTCTCCCGGGGGTAATTTTCAAGAATGGCGAAGTGGCATCTTCCTTACATGGGCCATTACTTTCAGAAACGGAGCTCCACCATGACACATTTGCTGGTGTTCAAAGCATATAGACAGAGCTGTTAGAAAGACTGATGCTTTATCCTTGTGAGGTTAGGCAGGCTTACTGACTACGCCATTTATTCAGTGGACACCTGCTTGTTTGTTAGCTTTGGGGAATGTCGGCTGTTCTAAGGAGGGCTCCTGTTTGCATTTTGTTAAGAGTTTCTGCTAGTGCTTCTCAGTGGCTGAGTAGACAACTCCTTTGCCTGCAGGCCTCTCCTGATGTTTACAATGGAAAACTGCTTCTACCTGCTCATCTCTCAAGCGGTCCGGTACTTGAAGGACCCGTCAGTGCACTCGCGAGATAAACAGCGCATGAAGCAGGAACTGAGCTCGGAGCTGGTAAGGGCCAGCCTTGTTCAGTGGGGTGCCCAGTCCAGAGGAATTGGGCTGCCGTTCCCGTCATCCCTGGCCAGCAGCTGCCTTTGGCTGTGCTGAACGCGAGGATGGCAGTCCATCACGTATGCCCGTGGCGGAGGTGGGAATGAGGATCCTTGGATTAAAACCAGAACGTGTCCCCCACAAACAACCCCCTTCAGCCCAGTGCCCAGAACAGAAGGAATGACGTGATCTTGTATTCTCTTTCCAGAGTACTCTCCTCTCCGGCCTGTCTCGCTATTTCCGCCGTGGGGGTCCTTCTTCCCCTGCCGGGGGCGTTCTCCCCTCGCCGCAAGGGAAATCCTCATCCAAGATTGGGCCTGAAAGTCAGGAGCCTCTCTTCCAGCTGGTTCAGACCTTTGTCAGACACGTGCAGAGATAGATCCCACCCACCCCGGCTGAAGATTTCCACCCAAGTTCATCTCCATCCGCTTTTCGACCTCCAGCATCAGGAAGTTTCCTGGTCTCTGCCAGCAAAGGACCCTCTCTGCGGGATATGGGAAGATCTCCAAACTGTTCCTTGTTTTGTGTGTTACGAGTAAATCTGGCTTGGCCTTAACAAGCCTGTCCCTTATTTTTCTAACTTCTGTATAGCCTAGGGTGGAAGGCAGATGGAGGGAGCTTGACTATCTCCCCTTCTCAAAAAAAAAAAAAAGAATTGGGCATTAACCTCATAGTATAAGGACCATTTTGTGATGGAGCTTTGCCAAAATAAGTGCAGGGACCATCTCACCTGCTTTTCACGGCACCAACTGGACCGGTCTTTGCTGCTCCAAGCGCAGATGAGGTATTTTTTTAAAGGCTGCGTCCTCTTTCCAGACAAGATTTAAAGTCAGAATCCCATTGCTTGAGTCTCACTTTTTGTACTACATGTTTCCTATTTATACTGATTAAACACATTTCTAAACAAAGCCGGGACTTAAAACCTCTTGAATGTTGGGAGTGCCCTAGTTTGGTTTCTGCTTTCAAATCAACGCTTTGGAAAAACGCAGCAGTGCATAAAACGGTTGGAAGAGCTCAAGAAGGCTCTTTGGGACTTCGGCTTCTTCTATGCGTTGCACGGCGAACCCACAGTTCTCGTCAGTGGCTGGTTTGCAGCTTAACGTCGCATCCGAGCACGTAAAACTTTCTGCAGCTGTCCATTTTGATACATGCATGGAATGAAACAAGCCTGCTTTGTTTTGGGTAGATTGAAGTATTGTGGTTGGGGGGGGAGGGCAGGCCGTGATGGTTTCCTTGGTCTGTGTGTGCGCAGACATGGTGGTGGTGAGATTGGGCAAGGCAGGAAGCTGGCAGGTAAAGGAGGTGCTAGGAAGAGGGGGTGCACACAAAATCAGTCTTCTGGCTTTTCTGTCCAGTCACTGCCGATCTATAACTCTAGTTCGTAGCAACCCCTTTTCGATTTTGTGCACTTTTACTGCTGATAGTGTCCCGTGTGTGAGAAGCGATTCCCAGCCCACCTTTAATGTGTGAAAATCTGGAAGCATCAAAAAACGCAAAGAGGGGTTACCCTCATCTTTTGCCTGAGCTACTGTGCAGTAGAAATGCAGAATATAATCAGCTAGTGGGGTGAACAAAACCCTGCAGAGGCTGAGAGTCTACCTTTTAGAACTGACTCTATTAACTTAAATAAGCCGAGCGCATCACTCCACCAGCGCTTGGGGCACAAGCTAATAAACCTTACGACATCCTGTTTTTATGCCCAGGGTTTGCCAGCAAAGGAAACTTGCAGTGTCCAGCCTTAAAACCATTATTCCTTCATTCTTGTTCCTTTTTTTTCCCTTAAGCATTCGGGCGAGTATTGACTTCTGGAAAAAAAGATTTAGCACATGAGCCCTAATTCGACTCATGTTCAGCTGGAAGAAGGCAGCTGGAGCAAGAAAGCAAGCGGCAGCTATAACTTTTTATTAATCAAAGATAGCAGTAACAAGAGTATCGGACATCTCCTTTACATCTGAGCTCTTTGCTCACTTCAAAAATCTGCAGTTTTTAAAGGAACTCGGCAAAGAAAAAGCAGAACCGTCACAGAATACAAACAGCTGCAAGGAAAGATGGGCGAGTCCGCCAGAGGCCGCCCTGCAGAGAAACGGGCTCTGGTCCCTCCCTCCTGGTGAGGCTCCACGTATTTCCAGAGTCCGTGGCCCCGGTGGGCAGAAGCGTTCCTGACTCAGCCCAGGGTTACGTGACAAGCACCAGAGGAGGCAAAGACGCCGCCCGCTTGGGAGAAATCCCTTTGAATTGGGGGAAACCGTGCACAAGCTTTAAACCGAGCACACAGGAAGAACATCTATAACTTGCTCTTGAAAGAAAAGGACAGTAAGGTGTTTGTCTTATGCTGGGGAATATCCCTACTGATGCACGGGCAGCTGGTGACTCAACCTTTATTTCCAGGGTTCATGATTTCTACTCCACCAGATGCTACCTCCACTGATTCCTTGGAAGCCTTTTTTAACAACTGGCTTGGGAAAACAACGGCATCTTCCGCCCAAAGATCGCGCCGGCAAGAGTCGGGGTCTTCTACCTGCCGAACATCTGACCAACAGAGTTGGCAGCCTGGACCTACTGTGGGTTCAGCTCAGTCCTCTGAGAAGGGTTCCTTGAGAACCTCACAGAATTCAGAAATCGTTTCTGTTGCCAGCCTGGAATAGATCTCCAGAGGGGGCAAAGTCACCTAGCCCCATATGGCTGTTCTAAGATTAAACTCGGGGGGGGGGGAATAAAGCCCACACGGAGAACAGGCCAAGACTGATTGGCAAGCAAGGAGTTGTCTGCAAGTCAGTAAAAATATACACTTACGGGAGCGTTCTGCAACCTTACATCAGCGTAAAGCACAAAGAGCGAAGCCGGTCAAGCATTTAACCACCCGGCCCCACGCAACGGGACGGCTGGCTTAATCTGTTCCATGCTCTGTCCTAGATACACTGGCTCTACATATGGCTTCGAGTTCAGGAGGAGAAGCGCCCCAAGGACTGAGCTAAGGGGTGTGAAGATACTCGACAAGCCCGGGCTCCTCACTCTGCAGATGTGTGTGTGTGTGTGTTTGCACACGTATAGGCAGTACAGAAGAAACACGTAGGCGGGACTGGTAATCGAAGCTTGACCATTCAAGAAACCTATGGGGTTTTAAAGTCGCTAATCCTGTCTGCTTTCCTGATTTAATTCAGAAAGATTTGCTGGATGGGGAATGTGTCCTCAAAGAGATGCCCCCAACGCTAAAGATTTCTTTTCATACGGGCTGAGAGTTTGAGAATGCACTCAGGTGGGCGAAGGGGGGCTCGGCCTGCAGTCAGAAAGAAACCCGTTTCTCTCCCCACACAACCCCCCCGGAATGTCTAAAATCGATCGAAGCAAGACTCAGAAAAAAATGGGCCAAGGGAAATGGGAGAAACGAAGGGTAAGAAAAAGACACCCCTTAAGTCACCTGAATTCTGGAAAGTCCATTTGGTGGGGGAGGGAGGGAGGGAGGGTCTCTAAAAAGACTAGTCCTCATGACCCCCCACTCCGCCATCCACAACAAACACTGGTGGGGCCTTCCAGCATCTCCCAGCGATTCTCAAAGCCGACCAGGACGAATGGAGGAGTCTCGGAAACCTTGGAGAACAGAAGCAATTCACCACCACACCTTTAGGGCCTTCATCCACACATCTCAGGAGCCCAAAATAATAATAATAATATGATAATAATAATAAATAGTGGGAGAAGTGATCTCAGAATGAATTAGTTTCAGCCTTTACAAAAAAAAAAAAATGAAAAGGGGGGTTCTGATTTGCTTGAAGAGTCCTTGCCGGACATGTTTAACTCAGCAGTTCTAAGTAGGTGACTGGAACCTTGCCTTTTTTATTCCCCCTCTCTCCAATGAGCCAGTCAGGGTCCATTCCTGGGAGACTGTACACAGTGATCATCTGAAAGACAGAGAGAGAAAGGAAGGTCATGGGGTGGCCTAAGCCATGATTTTACTGAAGAAACCATGTTTTGGGGTGGGATTTTTTTGCAGTTCTCCACACACAGAAAGGGCAGGTGACATTTTCATCCATTTTGGAGAGTGGGTACGGTTCTGAATGGGGGAATCATTGGAAGGGTACAACAGCTCCCTCGTGGAGGCTTAAGGCCCCTCTTTCTAGCCCACTCATACATTTTTTTCATACAGAAAAAAAATCGGTAGATTTCCCACTGAAGATCTGCAATTTTACCACCAACGTTCGGCCACCGAAACCCTTTGGGCTAACAGCTTCTGCACCAAACCATCAAATCCAACCTTTATTACGGGCATAGGGCAGCATAGCACCAAGCCACGAATCTTGGTCTATAAGCCACAATGGGAAGCAAACAAGCCACGTGACGACCAAGCCAGTCAGACTTGCATCAGAGAGTTAAGTTAGCCATAAGAGGGCTTGGAGCGGTCCACGCATCACATGTTCTACCAGCACGTCGGACTCGGGAAGGGAGCCGAGCCAAGACGGGGCGGGCGCCCACCTCATCGGAAAGGAGGGAGAGCTCGTTGCTGTCTGCCGCTTCGTAGTCATAGAGCACCCGGGCTTTGCGGGTCCCGCTGGTGGGGGGCTTCACCTCGCTGGGGTTCAGAGGTTCAACCACGGGAGCCGAATTGGGTGCCCCAGCAATCGTGGACACCACGGGGAGAGTGGGCACCGCTGGGCCCGTGGCAGCAGCCATGGCCGTCGGGGATGCAGCGTTCGGCGGGGGCGACGTGGACTCTGCGTTGCCCACAAACGTCCCCGGCAGCCTGGATAGGATGAGAGAAGAAAACGAACAGAAGTTGCTAGCCAGCCCTTCCACATTTTGGCTAGTTTTGTGCATCAGGCTTTCACTAAGTTACGGGACTTGCTCTTTTCCAAGGATGCGCAGAATCATCAACTAAGCAAGCCGCTGGGTTCGCACCACCAGGTTCAGACCACCCAGACTTGGCAAGCACGCTGTGTGAATGCTGCCGCTAAGCCTTTCGTTAACCAGGCTCCCTTGTCCAGCAAACGCAGCCCAGAGGCAGAAGGTGGCGGCCCTTGATAGGCCAGCCTGTCATTTGCCCGTTAAAAGAATCAAAAGGGACTTCAAGGTACAACGAAGGAAAATCCAGACCCAGGGCGAATTCAGAGATGGTGCTCACCAGTTTGGGAAGGTCACTTCAACTCTATTGCTTCCAAATTTTACTTTTTTTAATGGGAAGCAACAGGGTTCCAAAATTCTCCAGCACCTCTAACACAGCCGCTTTCCCCAACCCAGTGCTCCCAGGCTTGGCTTCCAACTCTCATAATCCCCAGCCAACATAGCTGCAACCAGAAAACTGCCCATCTGGAGAAGCTGCTCGGATCTAACCAGGTTTTGGACGAGCTCCAGAATCAAGGGTTGTCCTTGCATGAGACATTTAGCCACGGCTGACTCAATCTTTCTCTCTAGGTTTGCATGACGCCCTGAACCATAAGCTACTTATGTTGGCTGGCTTTACAGAACACACAAACTTAAACACGGTCAGCTAGTTTGTGATAGTATCATGTGAGACAAAACTCAGCTGCAAGTTGCCACACAGTCTAGGCCCTGTTCAGCGCAGGAATCCAGATTAAACCATCTGACAACGGGTGCCTAGAAGGGATGTGCAAAGGGCTTTGCGAACAAAAGTCTGGTTCAGAGTTCGAAAGAGCTACCCCAACCATTCCTAACAGGGTTCTGACCGTCCCAAAAGTGACCCGAGCTGGAAAATATCTATGCAACAATGTTGAAATGCATCTGGTCAATTTGGAACAACCTGATCTGAGCTGGAAATGTTTCAAATCTGGATTGCTGTGCACATATCTAGCAGAAGAGAGCCACCTACCTCACAGATTAAAATACTTTTAAAAAATGACTTTAAAATTTAAAAGCATTCAGGCTGAATCACAGAGAGCAGGAAAAAAAATACAAGTTCTTTACTCTGGACGGAATTTCACCTTGCTATTACTTCCAATTTCCCCCCCCCCAATGTATTAATTTTGCAAGTACAAAGAAAAAAGGAAAAGAAAATAGTTGAAAAAGATTTACAGGTAGTCCTTGCTTAATGACCACAATAGGGACTGGAAAATTAGTTGTTGGGGGCAGTCATTAAGTGAGCCATCATGTGACTGGACCTGATCTTACGACCATTTTTACAACAGTTGTTAAGCAAATCACATAGTCATTAAGCAAATCCAGCTTCCCCAATGGACTTTTTTGCCAGAATTCGCTTAACAACCATGGTGATTCACTTAATGACTCTCGTAAAAAAAAAAAAAAAATGCAAATTGCAATTGTGACTGCAGGGGGGGGTGTGACGCTTGCGGTGGTTGTACGTGCGAATACAGGTCGTAAAGCACTTTTCCCAAGGTTGTTGTAACTTCATTAAGTGAGGACTACCTATACAAACATTGTACAATCAATTTTCAAAAATCCAAAACTGTTCTACCAATCTGTAATTTTGTCAGTACTAAAACAAGCCAAGCTTTCAATTGGGCTATTATGCAATAATGAACCACACCCAACCTAGTTCAAATTATAAAGTGCGATAAAGAAATGACAATCATTTCTGCCTGATCTACGAAATCTGATAAATTTAGCAAATCTTAATTAAAATTCTACTCTTACATTAAAGAAGACCCCAACTTTGGCTATGATACAAACTTGCTCGTAAGATTATAACCCCAAAATGGTTTCCACTACTGGATTCAGATTTTTTTACTCACATTTCTCCTCTGGAGCTGGAAGCCGGGAAGAGAGAGAACAGAAGACGAGAAATGAAAAACCAGTCCCCCCCAATTTCCTGAGCTAATCCTTAAATATGAAGACGAAGAATGGTTCTGAGTACCCTCCAAAGCTTGTGAGTTTGGCCAAATTTTTTGAGTGCTGAATCAGTCAGGGGCAAGGATCACCAATGGGGGCTACATCTGCCCCTTAGCACCACATTTATGGGCCCCTGAATATCACCCCCCAAGCACCCCGAACAGGGCCAAAACACTGAAATTTTGATGGCGAGAATTTAAGGATCTAATCCTTTGGAAGCCTGCAGACAGGTCCCATTTTTTTCTCCAGGGCTGCTGATCGACACCCCCACCCATCTGACAATGCACGGAAAGTCTCAGATCACAGTTTACAAACTGCCCCCGCTTAACTAGATTTAAGAAGTGCGTTTTGCTTGAAAGGGGCAAAATTAAAGCGTCAAATGGATTCACCAGCTACCTGCTCAGCTGCTTCTGGAGGTCCAGCATGTACTGATAGCATTGAGCAAAATACGTGGTCTGAGCTTCTGCAAACTCGTGGAGACATCGGAGGTGGTTGACCTAAAAAACAGAAGGAAACTCCAGCGCCTTGTCCAGGGAAGATCACTGGGTCTTGCTGAAGACCGGAAATTAACAGCCGATTCCAAGCGAAGCGCTTGGGGCCTCGACGTTTTCACAAGGTGACGCTGATACAAATGGAGGGTTTAGAACAGAACTTCTCCCGCTGCCTTTTTTTCAACCAGTTCTCATTCAAGCCAATGCAAAAGAAGAGAATTGCCATGAAAATTCACAGGTGGAGCGTTGTTTGGGCACTTTAGTGACCCGCTGGCCAAGGAGTGCCCTATTTTTCATTGCACCATCCTCTCTCTGTTGTTCTTTACTTTCCCTGGCCTCTCACTCTTCCATTCAACCCCAAGGGAGACCTTGGGAGGGATATCCTTTCAGAGGCGTTTATGATGGGAAAGTGGGGGCAGCCAGGGAGGCTGCAGAGACGGGACAGAGAGATTTGGAACAGGCTGTTCTTTCTCATTCTTTTGCAGCGTCCCTTCCTTCCACTCAATTCAAAGGAAAGACTACAAGAGGGCAGTCCTCCCAGGGCCTTTTTCTGATGGGGAAGGATGGGCAGCCAGGCAGACTGCAAAGGGATAATGGTGGAGAACAGACAATACTCTCTCCGGCCATCTGTAGCCTCCCTGGCTGCCCACTCTTTCATTCAATCCCAAGAGGAGATCTCAGGAGGGACCTCTTCCCAGGAGGCTTTTTCAGCTGGGGAAGGATGAGCAGCCAGGGAGGCTGGAAAAGGACAGAGAGATGGAGAATAGACAATCCTCTCTCTGTTTGTCTACAATCAGTCTGGGTTCCCATTCTTCCATTCAAGCCAAAGGGAGACTTCAGGAGGGAGGTCCTTCCACAGAAGGGCTGTTTCAGATGGGAATGTGGGAGCATCCAGGGAGGCTGCAGAGAAGGGAGAGATGAGGGGCAGACTGTCCTTTCCCCATTATTCTGCAGCCTCCCTGACTTCTACTCAATTCAAAGGAAAGGGGGCATTTTTAGACTGGGGAGGCCACGAAACCAAGGATTCCAAACACAGCTCTACTCCGTGCTCCTCATCTTCCTTGAATGAAGCCCCCCTCCCTGGAAAAACTCACGTGCGTGCTACTAATCCCTTCCAAGAGAAGGCGAGTCACTTCTGCCTGCCGGTCGAATTCCGTCTGGGCCAGTCGAAGCTCATGTTCAGCCTGCAAACAAAGGGACAGAGCATCATCGGAATGAAGACATAGGAGCAAAAAGGTGGAAGGAGGGAAAAAATTGTGCTTTTGTATATACGTTAAACTCCGCCCCCACCCCGGCGATGCCTTTCAGCCTGTTTTCTGCATTTTATTAACCAAATGTCATCAACTTTTTACTGCAATGGATTTTTTTCCCGTCTATGAACTTTGGCTGGATTGGAACACAGTGCACAAAGCCATTACGAGTTTGGAGCAACAATCTATATATTTTAAAAGTGGTTATTGCAAACGGAGATGCTCCTCCCCTTGGATGGCTAATGGATCTTCCCTCTTAAAATACAGGGGACGGTGTGAATGCCGCCATTCATCAGGACCAAGCCTCTATTTTTATTATTTTTAAGCATCAGCCTGTTGGCTCATGATGCTAAACAGGAAGAACGTAGGGTTTTGAGATCAGAGACCGGACGGTGGATCTGTACGTGGTTGTTACATTAAAAAAAAACCCAGCAGCTGAGCACCGTGGGTTACTCTTGTTTTTCAAACTTTGCTCCAACCTTGGTATTTTGGCATTACCTGGATCTGGATGGGGCTCTCCCTGAAAGGGGGAGAGTGCAAGAAAAAGGCTTGTTCTGTCAGTGTCTCCCACCCTGAGGAAGAGATGATCGTATGCTTGTTTGTTCTCTGGGGAGGAAAAACCCCTTCTACTTTGAGAATAAAACCCATGAAACAGTGGAAGAGTTACTCTAGAATGGAGGTGGGGATCCCCTTGTTGGCGGCTTCCTAATGGGGGCCAGAGAGCCACCTCTGAGATCGAGTGGATCCCTGAACCTAATGGGTTGGGCTGGATGATCTCCAGAACCCCACCTACCTCAGATTTGGCAAAGTGTGACTTCACAGTTTAAACTGCAAACACTTCAAATGTTAAAAGGTGGGCTAAAATTTGGATCTGACTCCCCCCCACAATGCAAGACTTGCTTTCTTTCACGTACCCAAACTTCTGATTATTGTTTTACGCCTTTATTCACAAAGGCTGGACCTAAACATCCGTTCTGCAGCCTATGCTTTTTGTGTTTGGGACATCTCCCTCTGCTCTACGGCGTGCTTGTTCCCCCTGCAAAGCCCCAGAAAGCCATGGAGATTCAGGTTCCGGAGTAACCCCAAACTTTTACTTTCCAAGTGGGGGTGATAGGGCCTCTAAGCTAAAAGGTGGGTGTGCGGGGGTGGGGTCACTGCCTACCCCCAGCACTGTCTGCGAGCAAGCTGGGGCGCATGGAACAGAGGTGGACGGAAATGAACGACGAACTGCGAATGACGATGCTCTGGAGATGCGTTAGGCTCCTGTGCATTTGGCAACACGGGTTAACAGCAAAGTGGGTGAACGGCAGTTTGGGGGAGAGATACCCTTTGGGAGAGGATGCCCCATTATCGGTCTCTTGCAGGTAACCCAAGGCAGCTGTGTGGCTTCTCTCCAGTAGGGTCCCTCGGGGGGAGCCAACATCTGGAAGGCATCGGGGGAGCTCCCAGAGGGGAGGGCTGAACCCCAAAATTGAGAGCAGGATTCTTTCGCTGAAGCCCTCCCTGGATTTCTACGTGGCGCTCTCACTGGGGCTGGTTTATTCTGAAAGGGACGATGCTGTTGTTTCCTTTGGCTTTTTAAAAAACGAGCTTTGGTCTCATTTTTACTGCGCTTCTTGCCTTCCCAGCTGTTCTGGTTCTTTTTTGAAGGACGGGCCCTAGAAGCAGTCTGCAAAGACAGACCCTTATTCGCCTGTTAAGATCATTCGCAATGGGGGCTTGGGGGGAAAAAAGACAACACCCTGCAGATTTGGGGGATCTCAGCTGTTTCCAGGAGAAGGAGGAAAAGATGAGAAATCAGATTTTTCTTCAACAGCAGGAGCCGCAGACTGAATTCCCGTCTCAAAGACTCCTTGGATTTAAGGTTCCTCTCGATTGTAGGACCGAGAGATCACCTGGATTTCACTGGAAATTAACAGGCAGGAGGAGGACTTTTTGACCTGGTCCCCTCTGGCCATGCTGGGCTTCCCATAATCCCCAGCCAGCCGGGTTTAAAGGATGATGGGCTGGGCTGTATAGCGCAGCCTAAAATATTTGGCATTCGGTCGTCAGCTCTTGTGAGGAAGTGGGGAGAGAACAGAGCCTCCCCAGTGAAAGGTTTTCAGGACGGTCCGAGCTGACTTTAGGGCAGACAGAATTGCATCTGTCTATCTACAGCAATGTTGTCCAAACTTGGCCACTTTAAGATGAGTGGACGTCAACTCCCAGAATTCCCCAGCCAGCATGGGGTTGGCTGGGTGGGGGAGTCTGGGGGGTGTCCTCCACTCATCTTTAAGAGGGCCAAAGTGGGCAACAATGCCGGAGAAAGACCGATGCACTTTCTTCTG